CAATATATGGTCTGTTAGTACTTAAATTAACAAAATTGTCTTGAAGTTCTTGCCATTTAAAAATTTTAAATGGGACCCAAATTTTATATGTATGTGCACTCACATATATGACTCAAAAGTCTGCGGTAAAGGGATTGCTGTGCTCTTCATATACAGTATACATTTATAAACTCTTATTAAGGAAAGGGGAAGCCTACACAAGGGGAAGAGCTAGGCAAAGGTAGTGTGTGTGCTGAAGAACAGTGAGTTAGAGTATTCACATGGGGGAGATAAAAACAGAAGGAAAGGTCTGTGCTGGTAACAGAAACCTTGAGTGCCCAGCTAAAATATTTAGGCCATTCTCTAGCAAGCAGGGCCTTTAAAAAGTAGGCAGTTCATAGTAAAACATGCAGATAAAAAAGTATGTCCTTTTCTGATGGTGAGAATAGTAACAGCATTGCACAGCCCTAGAGATCAGTTTGTTCCTCTCAAGAACAAATAATTTGAACCGTGAATTCTGTCTCCAAGGGAATGCCTTGCAATTATGCTTGGAAAGGGTTTTGTCTTCTTGTTTAGCCATTTCCTGTTTACTGCTTATTTACAGCTATACCCTAAGCCTTACTTTAGGAGAATATACCCAGTGAAAATGAATATTTATTCAGTTTTTATCCAGGCAGTGAGTGAATTGTGTCTTACTCAGGCGCTGGAACCCTTTCAGAGACAAGGAAACTGAGCCTTGGAGGGGTCAAGTTTGAGTAATGTAGCTAGCAGTCATCAAGGGGGAGATCCAAACATGGGCCTTGCCACCTTTTACGACAGTCACCAGTCATTCATAACATTGATCTATGAGGCTCTCAAAAGTCTACAATAAAAGGACTCCTGTGGTCTTGATGTACAAAAGCTTCAGGCCAGCAGGTAATAAAAGATGATGTGGATGGAGAGCAATTACAAGTAATATTTGCTAGCATGCAGAAATAGCAGAAAATGGGCCATGAGGAAGATTCCTTAGAGCCAGGCAGAAGTGTCTGTTAGAATATGTAGGAGAGAATCGCAGCATCGTAGGACTCGAGTGAATGTGAGCCTAAGGGAAGAGGAGTAGCAGTGACTTTATCAGAAGTGAGTCATCTGACAGCTCTAATCAGACTCACCCCTTTATTATAGCTGAGGTCATCCATGTGCTTTCTCTGATGTGCCTGTTTTGAGAAGAGATTGATTCCAGACAAGCGAAACATACCTGAAGATTCTGGTGTGGACATTAGAAATGACCTGATGAGAAAGTGAGCCACAGATTTTACAGCATGGTGGTGGTGGTAATGTTAGAAGTGTTTGACAGTCTATATCCTTCATCTCTAGCAACAGTGCTCATATTTCTACCGATACCTTTAGAGGGGGAATAAATTGAAAACTTGCCCCAGGAATCTTCAGGCATAATGTGATGGATATAAAGGAGTTTTTTTTTAAGTCTCCTATTTTATATTTAGGAAAAACTTTTGTTTATTTGCATATCTGCCTTAGTTGTAAAATAAATGACTGTTTTTCTCCTTACCCCCACCCTATCCCTTCCAGGACAGCCAACAGTCTGAGAAGAGGGTGCTTATTCGGCTTCCAGGGTTTGAGCTGCCTCACTGGCACCTGCTGAGGCTGCTGATAATACGAGAGTAACCACACTCCTGGTGACTTTTCTCTACCTGATGGCTCCCTCTTGTTTCCTTCTGGCTTCTCAAATATAAATTCCCGATTTACCAAACTCCCATGGTTTCTTTCACTTGATTGGCATGATTGTGAAAGGGCTTGTTGTCTTGATGTGTCTCAGCATTTTTATTTTTTGGAATTTCCTTTTTTGTCTCACTTGGGGAATGTCACCAAATATTGTCTATCTGATTCTAACAGGAACTTATTTTTTTCTCAAGATGCTACTTGATATTTCTTTCAAGGGACAGTAACCGTACATGTGATATTAAAAATGGTGTGCTTAGCCTGGATATTGCTTCTTGCCATCCTCTTCTGGGGGTAGAGGTGGAAGTAAATTATTATTTATGTCTCTTGGATGTAAGAAAACAAGCTCAGGCCAGCATGTGAGAGAGCTGACTTCAGGTCACAAATGAGCACTGGCTTAGAGTTGTTACATAGATTGTATTTTCTAGTCATCCCAGAGGATTTCCCATTTTGGTTGCAGTCTTGAGAAGAGTTTGGTGCTCTTGGGTAATCTAACAGCCGCAAAAGTTTCCTCTGTAAAGTGTTTTTATTCCTAAATCTCATGTGAAAGGGTTGTTGCTGATGTGTTGATACTAAAGATTTGTTTAGGTTAAGCCCCAGAAGGCTTTATTTGGGCATTATTTGTGCCTAATTTAATTTCTTCTCCTGAAACCCATTTCAGCCTCTCACTGTTGTAATCTTCCTTGATGCCATGTTTTCCCATTGTCCCGCTGCAACACCTTTTTTTTTTTTTTAAGTTGGTGTCCTGTCTTTTGAATGACATCTACCACAAAAAATACCTTTTTCCTAGGTCTTGCATATTTTAAAGTCTTTTGTTTTTAAGCTGACCTATCATTGTGTCCTCCTGTCAATCTGCCCAATAGGGAGCAGCAAGATTGCAGTTGCCTATTTTCTAAATAAAGAAACAAAACACGGGCATTCCTGACTTCAGCTGAATGGAAAAGCCAGGTCTAGGAACATTTTCTGGAAGTCTTCCAATTTTCTCAAAAGTGGAAAAAATGTATTATGTAGATTGAATGACCTATAAAGATGATAGCCCTAAAATATTTTAAGGTTGAATTTTGTTTTAAGTCTTAAATTGAAAGAAACAGTGGGTTTGCTGGATTTCTAAATAAGACTGATTCCTGTTTTAGACATGTTAAAGATGTTTGTTTCCTGAGAACAAAGCTGACTGAATCACACAAGAGGTAGTGAGTAGCTAAAGTTTTTGTTTTCCACTTATTTTTGGTGATAGTATTTTACTCCTCTTTGAAATATCCTAAGAAGGTCATGTCTGAAAAGATTACACTCTGTGGTTCCTAGTAGGAATTTCAGTGTCAGTGAAGTTTCTTCAAAGTAGTCATGGGCTGGGAGTAAAGCTCAGTAGTACAGCATGTGCTTAGCATGGCCAAGGACTTGGATTCAATTCCCACTACCACCAAACAGACAGACAGACTTAAAATATACATTTCAGTGCAGTAAGCTATGGAACTTAAAGTGTCAAACTTCTTTATTTTTGGCTGGAATTTAATTAATTTCATTAGGAGCTCTTGTTGGCAGCAAATGGGCATGACCAGTTAATTATTCCTGAAAATTACTGTACAAGGAGTTCAGGAGGAGAGCAATTACCCAAGTGAATGGTGTGGAAGGCTCATGGTCTGAGAGCTGTGAGACAGTGCTGAGAAATGCTCACAAGGTGGCGCCAAGAGTTTGCTTAACTGTTGGGTCCCCAGCTGGCACCTGGAGCCCTTGAAGCCCAGTTCAGCCTTGTGAACTGTGGTTCGCTTGTTATACCCTCTGTTCTGGTCCCAGTCTTTCCAGAGCCTTCTTAGTGCTGTTATCTGTTCTGTGTATTGGTGTCTATCTATGGTCTGCCTGCGGGGAAAGCTGTGGTTATTGACTACCTCTAGATGATAGGGCCTCAAGAGCGGGCAGATTGCACTCCTTTCTGCATTTCCTTTCCATCAGTTCCAGATACAGGGTCTCTGCATTTCATTGTTGAGTTAGCATGTGTGGATGATCTGTGGGCTGCTGTGTCCTTCCATAGGGCTTATCTTCAGTGTATGTTTGCTTAATGACTATGCATATGTTCTTAGCTGCATGCATGACTTTTTGGAATGAATATTTTGTGCCTGTAGTTTGTGTAATTTCATAAATCTCCTCCTGCATGAAAGCAGTCAACTCAGAGATAGTTCGTTACAGAAAGCCTTCCTGAGGTGGGTCTTCCCTTCAGGCCTGCAGTTGGGCAGGGTAGTGGGAGGTCTGCATGAGAGATAGCAGATGGCTGTGGAGTTCCCAGGCTCTATGCCACATAGGTAGGAGTTTGAGAACAGCAGAAAGAATCTGCTTTATCGTTCTCATTTCTCTGCCTCCTTTGGGTTCCCAACAGGGAATCATCCAGTTGGCAGGGCTGTGTGACCCGGAAGGGAAACGTGCTCTTACCAGAGAGGGGCAGAAGTGCCATGAGCATAGTTTAGTTGGCTTATATCATTTACTGGGGACCATTAAGTAAGTGGATGTTCAGTTTTTCTTTTTTAGACAACAGATAAGGGATTCAAGGCTTTCAACTTCCTACTGGAAGGAATTTGAAAAGCTTTCATAATAATGTTATCTCATTAATATCCCCGTAAACAGCTAGTCATCTTCTTGGCCTGACCCTCGCTCTGGCTTCTTCACTGTGTGGATGCCTTTCCAGAGTGTTTGATTTGGCAACATATTCAGAAGCTCTGTGTTTGATAGCCCAAAAGTGTGCAAAACTCTGAGCAAAAGCATTTGGATTTACTTAATTTAAAAAATGAGCCACCATCCAGGTGATACCAGAAGTAGTGTTGTTGTGATGTCTGACTTCTTCTCCCAAAGCTGTTTGTTTAGATCCCTAATGAGTTTGGTAAACCATGGCCATATTTTTATTTCTGGACCTGGGAGTACCCAGTCTAGCAGTTCTGACCTTTCAGTGTTTAGAGAAACAGAGATTCTGATTATCAGATGAAAAGAAAACGACAGCTTTTCTTGTCCGTTGAAACCAGGACTCACTCATGGTAACCCTTTGTCCATTGCCCTACAAACAGAGCAGAGACTGTGACTCTTACTCTTTGGGGTGGCATTATTTTAAAGAATATGATCAGAAATGACCTGTTAGATACTCCTCTTCTCTGTGAGTCTTTATTTTCAGTTCTTACCTTTGGCAGTTGAATTTTAATTCATTGGGATATGGTGAAGTAGCTTATCAGAGCATCTTTAGAAATATATCTAGTAAATTTTTTGATGAAAAATTTGGGAGCTGCTCACACAAATCAGCATCACTAATATGGCTGCTTTGTTTTTAGGTGATTGGAGAGGACAATGTGGCAGTCCCCTCACATCTTTATAAGGTGATTCTGGCTCGCAGAAGCCCAGAGTCTACTGAACCGCTGGCCCTGGGGGCCTTTGTGGTGCCCAATGAAGCCATTGGCTTCCAGCCTCAGTTAACTGAATTCCAAGTGAGCCTCCAGGACCTTGAGAAGCTGACAGGACTGGTGTTTTTCCCTCACTTGGACAGAACTAGCAATGTGAGGAATATCTGCACAGTGGACACCTGTAAGCTCCTGGATTTCCAGGAATTCACTCTGTACCTGAGCACAAGAAAGATTGAGGGAGCCCATTCCATGCATAGGCTGGAAAAAGTCATGGAAAATTTGAAGAATGCAGGGATTGAACCAGATGATTACTTTCTGAGTTGCTATGAGAAGAAACTAGAAGAACTCAAAGCCAAGGAACAGCTGGGAACCCAGACAAGAAAGCCATTCTAATTACCTCAGAAGATAAGTGCTGATCCGCTATAAGGAAGCAGGCATGCCCCCTCCAGGCTCATGTGTTTTAGTGGCTTTGCTTTAAAGAAATGATGGAATCCTAAATTTGAGACTAAAATTCCCTCTGAACAATGAATGATCTACAATTATTGTGTCAGTTTTCTTTCTTTCTTTCTTTCTTTCTTTCTTTCTTTCTTTCTTTCTTTCTGTCTGTCTGTCTGTCTTTCTTTCTTTCTTTCTTTCTTTCTTTCTTTCTTTCTGTCTTTCTTTCTTTCTTTCTTTCTTTCTTTCTTAGCTTGGGGACTAATTAGTAAGGAAGCAGTTACATCTGCAGATGGAGAGCTGATCTTGTGTCAAGTTTACAAGAGGACTATGTTCCCAAGATGGTGCTACATTTATGTCCCTCTGGATAGTTTGTGAAGGAAGGCACTGTTTATTTGTATGCCTCCAAACCATACAGTGTCTTTGATATATCTGTCTGCTGAGCTTCTTGGAGCTTGGTATTGTATGGTTTTTTTCCCCTAGGATATGATTAGCTTTTAGAAATCTTCCATTATCCTGCCCAAGTACAGAATAGAGTATAATTTATTTCTTCTCTCATGAACCTGCTGTTCCTCCACTTCTATATGTCCAGAAGCACCCAACAGCTGTGTTTTCTGCTCATTGTGTTTTTACACACTAAGCTCACTGCTTTACTCGTATTGTCCTGTAGTGACCCCTCTGGGGTAAATACACTTTCTATTTTACCTGTGAGGAAACTGAAGCTCAGAGAGCTTCGTATCTTGCCTGTGGAATTCTCCTTTCCAAGGAAGTCACCTGCAAAATGTGGGTACACAGGGCTAAGAGAAGCAAGACAGAAAGTTCAAGTTTTCCATCTGTGGGCCTCGGGTAAGAAGAGTCTGGGGGGTTTTTTTGTTTTTTTTTTTTCGCTACATGAGCTAAAGGGACTTCAATGTCTTCTGACTTGAACCTTCCTTAGGTCTTGAAAAGAATCAAAGCAAGTGTATGAAAGTTAGAGGACGATGCTTTTTGAGGTTTATGAGAATCTCTGCTTGGTTACAGGGGGACAGTTGTTTTAGTAATTGTATGGTGCCAATGTGCTGTATTCCTTGTTCCCTCTGTGCCTGTGGTCCACTTGGGTAGCACAGAGCAGGTGGAGCCTGGGCCTAAAGCTGAAAGGACTGTTAGCATCCATGGGGTAAAGGGCAGCTGTTTTTCTGAAGCAGATCTCTGGAGTTGGGTTGACCCGGAGTCCTTTTGTGGGGTAGCATAACAGGGACAATAAAATATCCTGGGGACACAGACTCATTGAAATCTGTCATATCACTGCAGTCTGTCTAAGTGGTGACAAAAGAATAATTTATTTGTAATGTCTTGGTGTTTGTCTCTGATAGAAATGTCAAGGCTTTAAGATAGTGATGAGAAGATAATGATTTACTTTGCTCTGCTCCTTTCTTTGAGTAAAAAGGAAAAGTTGGGAGGTAGAACGTGTAGTCTTATTAATGTTGTTCTGTTTTGTCATACTCTTCCCCATTAACTTGTGCTGGTCCTTCTCACAACCAAAATGTCACTGTGACCAAAAAATCTGGTCCTTTCTCTCCTCAGTGGAGAGGTGATGGTGGGGCCTGAGTGTTTCTCTAGGAGCCTGAGGGCATAGCTCCAAGGGATGAGTCCTAGGCACCTGCTGTGCATCTCTACAGCCAGCCTGAGTAAGAGTGGCCTTGTCCTGCCACTGTGCTCGGATCTATCTGCCCCTTGTCTGCTGCAGCCTGAGCTCTTCTCATGCCTGCCTCTCTTCCTAGATGGCAGAGATGAGTAAGTTAAAGTACCTGAGGATTTTATCTCTTATGAAATATACCACCTGGTCATTGTAAAAAGTAGAGCTAAGAGCTTGTCATGCACAAAGGCCTCATTTTTATATGCAGTATTTTGTTGGTCTGTAACAGTGATGGTTGAATTACAGTCTGAACACTTTCATTATGAGTCCCCCCCCAAGCAAACTTTGTGTGTAATATTGGGTGGAGCTTGGAATTTTCCTCTGGATCAGGTCACTTCAGCACCCCCCGCCCCAATGTGGCTGTCAAGGGCAGCAGATCTCTGCACCTCTCCCCAGCAATCATTGTGTCCCTCTGTTAGAAAAACATATCATTACCAACCAGATCTGAGCAGGTCTCCATCCCTTAGTACGGGCTGAGTCCTGGTAGCCTTGTGTGCTGTTACTCTCCTGCTGAGAGGGAGGGCTCTGCTGTGGGAAGCCCCATCTGTGGGTGAGGGGCTTACTCCCTAATGTTTCTCCCCCTGCAGAGATAAACTCTTTGGTCTGTGGGTTGAAGCCGTTTGATCAAGTTTGTATGTAGCAAGAGTGGACCTTAAACAGGTTGCAAAGGTTAGGTGAATGGGTCTGTTAGCCTTTAAATACCTGCTAACATTTCACCCTCATACCTTCAAGCAGACTTCTGTCCCTCCCTTAGGCCTTTGATTAGAGCCCAGTAGGACAGGCAGCCTGATCTGAAGGGAATGAGTTCCTGCAGAGCCAGACACAGCTTGCAGCCCTATACTTGGACTGAGCCTGAGTGTTGCCTGTCCCCTGTGTCCCCTGGCCTTTCCTTGTGTGTGTCATTGACATCAACTCCGTGGATCACAGACTTCCCATTAGCAGTCCCCCCCAACCCTGCCCTGGAGTCTGCTCTCTGTCCCTGATCAGCCCTCCGTCCTGACTGTGCACCCTTCCTTCGAGGCCCTGCTGACAACCTCCACCTGCTGCCCAGTTCCCCCTGGTTGAGCTGGTCAGGGCTGGCCTCCATCTGGCCTGGTTTCTTCAGTGTCATCATCTGGGGTTGTCTGGGGTTGTCCTTTTCTTTTTTGGTACCAGGGATTGAACTCAGGTCCTTGTGCTTGCAAGGCAGGAGGCGGAACCACTGAGCTAAATCCCTGGCCCTGGTTGTCCTTTTTTTAAATTTTAGCCCCACCTTTGAGAACCAACCTTCAGAAAGTGCCTTTAAAAAAAAAAAATTTGAAGATTGAACCTGGGGTCTGTATACTGAGTTAACATCCTCAGCCCTTTTTATTTTCCATTTTGAGACAGGTTCTTACTAAGTTGCCCAAGTGGAACTTGAACTTCTGATCCTCCTGCCTCAGCCTCCTGAGTACTGGGACTACAGGCATGGGCCATTGCTTCTGGCTAGGAACTGCCCTTTGATGTGGGGCATTGTAATAAAGGGCAGTGGGATGTGATGATCGTAAATCATCTTTTCTTGAGGTCCTGAACGTGCCAAAGTGGTCTGTCCGGGGCAGGTCAGCCCCAGAGTGCAGAGTACCCATAGGGGTCGCTGTGGCCTGAAGTCAGACCAGAAGATGCAGCCTTAGCTGTGGCAGTGCCTCAATGTAGAACTGGCAGCTCTTCAACCATGAAGAACATGAGTCTTTGTTGCCAGGCTGCAGGCTCTCGGGCCAGATGGAGGAGCAGAGGTTATTCCCATCCAGTTAGCCTCGTGTTTGGCTCACACTAAAATAGTCTAGTAGCTTGACCTCCCCTATTACCTGTTACCCTTCTCCCCAGTATTTGTCTCATTTGCTTTCTTTTTTTTCTCGAGCTATTTAAAAGTAATTTGTTGTTAAAAAGCAATCTCTATTAAAATTTAACTAAGGGGATCCAAAAGACCTCTTATACATTTTAAAAATTCAAGTTTAAGTGAAATAAATCAGATGGACAAGCTTAAATATTGCATAGTTTCTCTTATATGAGAAACCTGAAGTACAAATAAATTAAAAGAGCAAAATGAGAGGAGGACCAAAGGATGGAGGGAGGGGGGAGGAAGAAGAGAGGAAAGGGATGAAAAAAGAATTAAGTTGTGTACGTTTACCAACTCCTGTGATTAATGTAATCATTATTGTAAACAAGTACTAATAAAACATTTTAAAAATTCAGGTTTTAAACAAGATTCATATTGTTATATCTCACCTCTTAATCTAGAACAGTCTACCTGGTTGGCTTAAAAAATACAGATTCCAACCATACTCTTGAGATTTTGATTCAGTAGATCTGATCTGAGGCTAGAATCTGTATTTTTTAAACAAGAAAACTGGTGATTCCAATGCACAACCAGGGTTTCAAACCAGGCTATTCCCTGCTCTGCCCTCTTTCCCAAAACACAGTCCTTAAATGGGCCTTCCCTAGTGGTCTTTGAGCTCCTGAGTATCTCTGTGGAAGAACTTTATCCTATCCCTTTGGCCCCAGGTACACAGTTTTCTTAATAGTGACCCTTATGGCTTGTTGTTTGGATGTTCCCTGAAGCCTCATGCAGTCATGGGTGGGGCTTTTCAGAGGTGGCTGGATCTAGGGTGTGTGATTACTAAATTGGTCCACTGGTTGGTTTGGCATAGTTCTGGGTGTGAATAATGGGAAAACCACCCTGGGTGTGGGTGGCACCACCTCATGGGCGGGTAGCCTAGAAGGGATAAAAGAGGCAGGCTGCTATTGCTGCTTCCTCACTGCCTTGCTGCCTTCCTGCCTTCTGCCTACCATGAACTCTTTCTCCTCTGTGATGCCCCTCTGCCATGCCACCCTGCCTTGGAGCCAGCCAACTATGAACTGAAACATCTATAAACTGTGAGCCAAATAAACCTTTCCTCTTTTAACTTTAGGTGTCGGGTATTTTGTCTCAGCAAAGAGAAAAGTAATTAGGATAGTAGTGGTTCATAAAATTAAGCTACAGTCTTCCATGCAACTCCTCCATCAGTAGCAGGCCACCCCTGTCCTAGGTTAGACAAGACTCCTCTCCATCAAAAGTTGGCACCTGCCTTCTTTTAAAATAAGCCTCATAAAGACATCGGGGCGGCTCATTTCTCACCCAAATGCCTGTGATCCCAGGCCCTTCACTGTCATGATTTTACATGCCCTGTGACTCAGCAGTCACATTGAAGCAAAGCACTCAGGACAGGTGACAGCACTGCTGGATTGGGTTGGAAACTGACCTCTCGTGGGGACAGTTGCTCCTCTCACTGTATCATTGCTTCATGTGGCACTTATTCCAGCTAACTGCCCCAGGTCTTTTCCTCATGATCTGCTGTCAGATCAGTTTCCCACAAGGCACATACACAGTCAATTTTGAAACACAAATGTGGAATTTTACGTATGTCCAACTGTTAAGATTTCCTCTTACAGTTTCAATCCATCTTCAAACAAGTTCATATTCTTGATGATTCTGATTTGGCCATCTGACACGTTAACTATGCCTCTCAGCTTTGAGATTGCAGATTGGATAAACAGGCTTTCAATGTGTTAAAAACATCGAATGAGACAGAGCCAACGAAGATCTCTTTGGTAAAAAATTTGTTTTATTGGCAACCCACATCACACAGTCACCCAACACGTTTCTTATGATAATGTGCTCTGGTAATTTCAGTTAAGTTCATTTCTGTTTCTCTAAAGAGAAGGACAACACTAAATTAATTGCAGTGCGGAAATAGGTCTCTGTGACAGTTTGCCTCTGAGTCACTGGACAGGGACTGTGATGGGCCCCCATGGCATGGCCAGACCAGCATTCTGGGCTCTGCAGTAGGTGGGGGACACCAGCCTTTCTGTCTTTCCACTCTCCAGTGGGATAGCTTTGACCAGCTACATCCTCTGAATGGAGTTTCATCCCCAGGTTGAGAATGACCTGCAGGATTTTATGAGGATTGGATGGCAATGTATTAGTTTGGTAAGCTCTTTGTAAATGGTAGCTAGTTACTGTGCATCCTGAGAATGAGAATCAAGTGATTGATGAAGGTCGTGCTGTTCTGAGAGGGTAAAGGGCAGAGTATGACCTCAGGACAGTACTGAGCTGTGGAATGGGGGGAATCAGTCACGTCTCTTTTCAAATCCTAAGTCTCTGTATGATGTGTTGCTGCAACCTTTTGGCCATATCAGGGCTTCACAGTTTATGAAGTACTTTCCCAGCAGAGCGTATCCAGTCCATCATTAGTATAGGTAGTATTCATTCCATTTCATATGTGAAGATATTTTAACTGCAGGAATTTATCAGTTTTCCAGCTCAAAATCTGTTTACCCTTAATCCCTGAAGGAAGTTCACTTCTTTTCATTTGCTTTATAATTCAGTCATTTATGCATTTGCTCATCTTCACCCTACTGTGCCCTGCTGACTTCCTAGAGGTAGGTACCTCATGGAGTTGGCTCCTTTTGGGACTCCCAGAGGGTTCTACCAATAGTAGGTAATCAAACATTTTGGAGTTACCCAACTCAGAAAAGTTGAGCGTATCCTAATGGTTCATTTTCCCTGTTGGGAGGTTGGGGACGAAGGGCTGCTTGGTTGTGGGCACATCTGAGGGTACTCCACGCAGAGCAGCAGCCTGTGTCTCTTGACACTGGGTGCTGAGTGTGGCTGACAACATGCTGGGTTCCTTGGTGTTTCCCTGGGATCCCTGCAGCAGGCTCTGCAGAGTCTGGGCTCTGTCTGAGGCAGCCTGCCCTGTGGGAAGATGGGAACAAGAAGGTGGCAGAGTGTGCCAAGCAGGGTTTTTGTGTTTGGGCCTGGGACAAGGGAAGCAGATCTGGGTCTTGAAATGCATGTGTTTTCTTCCTCCTTCCTCCTCCAGTTACTCCCAGGTAGGAGATGTCCTGCCTCTGGCAATGTCCTCTTAAGGCTTTGGGGGTGGGGACAGTGACAAGCCGAGGTCCTGGGTTTGCCAACCCCCCTGTACCCCTGAGACTTGAGCACAGCTGGCTCCTTGTTAAGACCACCAGGCAGCACAATGTTTTAGTTCCCTGTCATTACCCATGAAGGATCCCTGGCTTCTCCTGCGGACTCCCAATTGACATGTTCTGTGCCCACTCATGCCCTCTGCCTCCACACTCCCTGCTGCTTCCAAGAGAGCCTTGGAGCCCTTGCCAGCCATGCCACTGAGACACAGGTGACAGAGACCAGGCCTGGGGCACAGATGGCAGAATGCTGGCCTGGTGGTGTTTCTTTCTTTTTTTCCTTTCTTTTGGTACCAGGGATTGAACTTGGGTCCTTGCGCTTGCAGGGCAGGTGGCAGAACCACTGAGCTAAATCCCTGGCCCTAGCCTGGTGGTGTTTACCCTAGCTGAGTGGAGCCCAGGACAAGATGACATGACTGTGCCCTCTCTCCCTGAATGGACTGGCCTTCCTCAGGGGTAAATGCCTCTTGTGCCCCCATCACTGTGGCCTTTGGAATCTCTTCTCATTCCCAGACTGAGGTGCAGACCTTTATGTCCTCTGTTCGTGGCTCAGAGCCTGTCTTCTGGGGCTAGCTCTTATATGTATTTTGACATGGTTTTAGGTAAGTGGAGCCTCCTTGCTCCTCAGTTTCCCTGCCTGTTATGTGAGGAGCTAGGCTAGGCAGTCTGCAAGGTTCCTCTCCAGTTGGCATGTCCTGTTTGTGCCCGGCAGAGCCTTCCTTGGAGCTTGTGAGGGAGGCACAGCAGGGTGGGCTAGAGGCACCAGGGCAAAGTGGCCGAGGGCCTCTGAGGAGGTGTGAATGAGGGAGGCCGAGCAGGGCCAGTGTGGACAGGCCTGTCCCGGGCCTATCTCCTGTCTGAGACACCCTCTCCACACCCCAGTGCTGATAAGCAGGTGTGAGCCATGGCCGCCTTGTGACAGGCCCTTCAGCAGGGAGGGTGGTGCTGGGGGTCCACTCCACTTCTGAATCCAGACGTCAGCATCTTCCTCCCCTCACCCTGTTTCTCTGCCAGACCTGACAGACTCAGTGAATCAGGCATTGTCCCTGACAGTTTGCCTTAGCTTTGAGACCCAGTTCCTGCTCCAGGAGGCAGGGTGAGGAGCAGACTCCTCAGGCCTTTCTGGCAGAGTACCAAGGAGGAAGGGCACCTGTGTCCACCCCAGACCCATTTCTGCAGTGACTGTAGCTGCAGGGCTGGCACAGCTGGTGCTTCTTACTGCGTGTGCACTTCAGGGGCCGGTACTTGAGTTCCCATGGCCATCAGCCCCCAGCTTTCCACTCCCAACTTGGCTTTTGGGCCACTGCTCCATCTGGGCCCACACTTTCCCCAGAACCTGACCCATTGTTCACCCAAAGGCCAAAAGCTCCTTTCTGGCTTTGTGGCCATAAGGGTAGGTGGGGGAGGCTTGGAGAAAGAAACAGAAGCTTGGAACTCTAGGGAAGGAAAAGGGAAGACAAATAGGACTGAGCCTGAGGCCACAGAAAGCTCCAGGATGGAAGGTCTGTCTAAGCCTTTTTCTGATCTGAAAGGTTCTTTTCTGTGTTCAGATGTGAAGATTATTTTGATGTGCAGGCTGCAGCCATTCTGTCCCAGGCAGCCCCAAGTGTGTGCATGTGCACGCGCTCCTGTAAGGGGTGTTTGTCTTCCTCTATGTGCTCCTGTGTGTGGGTTTCATTCTCAGCTTCTGCACAGCTTATGAGGCAGCACAGGATACTGGAGCCAGATACATTGACCTAGGGTCAAATCCTAGCTCTGCCACCTTTCCAGGTAGGGAAGCTTGGGCAGGTAGCTCAGCTGCTGTGCACCTGAGTGTCCCATCTATGGGACAAAGAGGATGATACTAATGATAGATGATGCCATCTGAGTTAAAATGTGTAAAGGATTTTGAACTCTACCTGGCACAGTAAGCACTGTGCAACTGTTGATTGTTATGAATCTTTTTTTTTTTTTTTTTCATAGAGCCCCTTATATTATGTTGAGATAGGTTCCTTTTATATCTTTTTTTTTTTTTTTTGTACTGGGGATCGCACTCAGGACCTTGTGCTTGTGAGGCAGCGGCAGAACCACTGAGCTAAATCCCTGGCCCTATTATGAATCTTTTCATAAATTTTATTTTAATGTGATGTCAAACTTCCAGGAAAGTTGCAAGAAATTCTCATATACTTTTATGTAAGTTCATCCATTGTTTGTATTTTGCTCATTTAGCTTATCATTCTCTCTTC